GTTATCCTCCCCTACTGCAACCCAGGAGCATATGCAAGACACTGGTACTCAATCCCCTAGTAAACCCAACTGTGTGGGTCGTACCTCCATACACATTCTTGAAGCTAATTGTATCAGACTAATTGTAAGGAAGATTTAATACCAATAATTCTTTTTCCTGTTTCAGGAAGGATATCACCCCAGAAAGCTTCAGAGGTTGGCAGAGGGAGGAGAAATGGTGGCCCAAGACTGGCCTGTCCAGATCCTAGGTGCAGTCTCTCGATGTTGCTGCCAGTCTCAGCCTGCCTTCCACTCTGGGGTGTGTACATAATTTCCACATTCCCTTTCTCACCTACTGAAATGAGCTCTGACTCCTGACTCACTTTACCTGTGCCACAGTGTGATTCTTTTCCTTCTAGCGCTAAGAGCCAAGACTGTTACAGCTGGATTAGGAGGGAATGTGAAAGGAGACATCGCTCTTTGTCTATAACCAGCAAAAAGCAGGGAAGCCTGTTCATCTCTTTCCCAAGGTGGAGGCTCAGTAAATACACTACTCTTCATCCTCCAGCATTGGGAGACAACAGCCATCATTTAGCAATACTCAAGTTTGCCTTCTTTTAGGCCACAGTGATTTGCCACAGTATGGCTTCCATTTACTCTGCCTCATTGACTGTTAGCACTGTTCACACTTCTGTAACTCCCTCTAGTGAAATCATTTAAGGGTATCAATCATATCCTGCTGACACCCTGACTGAATATACCTGTTTAACCAAATATACCCTTGAAATCTATTGGTTTTGATTTCAGGTTATATGGATATTTAGGATATCCCCATGTCTGTTCTTCGACAAATAGCTTATTTTTACACAGATAAAAGTTTATTTGGGTTAGAACTTCATCTTTGAAAATTAATTTTTGGGAAATTCTAAGGTAGAGTTTATTAAGTTGCCTTTGCCTTGACTTTTCATATGTCAATATAAGTTGACATATATGCATATAAATAAACATTGCAATGAAAATATGTATATAAAGTATAATATATACACATATATACATTACACATATATGTTTAAAATTAGCTGATTTTCTCAGTGCCTGTCTTAATGCCATGTTATATAGCAATGAATGATGAATGCTTATTATGTATCATTTTGAAACCAATGTGGCTTTCCTTGACTTTCTGGGAATTTGCAACATTCAGAATGACCTTAGAAGTCACATGTTAAAGACTGTGATTCCCTCTCTTTATATGTGCACTTTTAATATCAAAATTGCATATCTCATGTGAATCATATAATATGTCAGCTCCGTGTTGGCTTGTCTGCCTAGCTTTTAATGGTCAAACCATTTCTCTGGACCTGCCTGATTATTTTCTGCATAAGTTCCTGGAGAATTATTCAAGTTGGATACATTTTTTTTATTTTTAAATTGCAGACTAGTATTCCACAGGATAGATGTATAATGTCTTAGCTGCTCACACATAAAAGCACATCTGGGTTGTTCAGTGTCTTTGGTCTGCTAGCAATGAAGCAAATCTCTGAGTGACTATGTGCCAGACTTTTGGTTGAAAGCCCCAGTTTCCATGTCCATGTGCTAAATGGCCAAAACTATGTTTATTGGTCTACAAGGTAAGTGTGTGTTTAGCTTTAAAAAGACGTGGCTTATGGTGACTTGAGTGGTAATGGCCCCAGTAGACTCTTATATTTGAATTCTTGGTCTGCAGTTAGTGGAACTATTTGGGACGAATTAGGAGACATGGCCTTGTTGGAGGGGGTGTGTCGCTGGGGGTAGACGCTGATGTTTCCAAAGCACATGCCGTTCCCATTTAGCTTTCGGTCTGCCTCGTTGTTACCTCAACAGGTAAAGCTCTCAGCTACTGTTTCCATGCCATGTCTGCCTGCTACCATGCTGCCCAGCATGATGGTCATGGATGCATCCTCCAAAACTTTAAACTTCAAATTAAATTCTTTTATAAGTTACTTTTGTCATGATGTTTTGTCAAGACAATAGAAGAGTAACTGGGACATGGACAAACTGCATTTCAGAGTGGCTGGACCATTGTTTTCCCACTAGATTCATTATGGCAGCCATTTCATAACATATACATCTTAATATAGCAGACGTCTCAGTATATCTTACCACATGCAATTTTAATTTAACAATTATATATCAATAAGTTATGTATTCATGGGGGTGGGTGCAAAGGAAAATGCTTTTTCAAAAGATGATAAGACAAACTCCAGACCAGGAAAATATATTTGCAGGCCAGCATTCGAAAATCTCAGATTTGAGGGTTTTTTAAACCCGTTTTTAACAGAAAGTTATATATTTTATATTTAAGTGTTTGAGCTCTTCTGAGAGAGTTTTTGACATGTCTGTCATTATTTAACTTAGTCCCACAATGGGGGAAACTGACCTGGAGGTGGAATAAATTATGTTTTCCCAAAACTTCAAGATGGCATAACTTATCTAGATATCACAGGCTATCAGGTGGACACATTCCCACAGAAGCCAGATTTCCCAGCTTACAGAGCTTCTCGGTTTCCAACAAGGAGTAGCCATTACTACCCTACAGAGTACCTTGGAGGAATCAAGGGGAAGGGTAGTTTGTATGACTGTAACACATTCATATTTTTTTCAGACTCATTCGTTTAAAAGGTTATTATACAATTTTATAAAGAGAACTTTAGGCTTTTGACAGATTTTCTCTTGGTGATGGCTTCCATCTTAAACTAGGCAATACCCTGAAATGAGATGAACACTCTACAAGCTTGCTAAATTGGATCATTAGCAGAGCTATGGCTAACCTTAGTTCTTTTATTATATTATCTTTACTGAGCTCTACATTTTTCTCCGCTCTCTTCGCTATCCCCCACTCCCCGCAACTTCAACCCTCTCCCAAGGTCCCCATGCTCCCAATTTACTCAGGAGATCTTGTCTTTTTCTACTTCCCTTGTAGATTAGATATATGTATGTCTCTCTTAGGGTCCTCATTTTTGCCTAGGTTCTCTGGGATTGTGACTTGTGGGCTGGTTTTCTTTGCTTTATGTTTAAAAAACCACTTATGAGTGAGTACATGTGATAATTGTCTTTCTGGGTCTGGGCTAAGCTTAGTTCTTTAGTCTTTGACATCACCTGTGAGGCATGGATATACGCAGTTAGGAACTTGCGACTACATTTTATGAGTATTGAAATGGCTCCTCTCTTCATTTATGGCTCACTTAGGTATTTTCTTGCAACTAGATAGTATGGTTACAAAAGAGGTCCAGTAACTGCATTTTATGTATTATAAGCCACATACTGTTACTAGAATCTACGTCGTCTTCCAACTGGTATGTTCAATCCTAGAGCATTTTAAAGCTTTCTACCAAATAAATGCAGGAAATGCCTTCCACATCTAGAGGACATGAAGTACAGGGCCATAAACACGTCATTCCCTGTTCTGTGGATGTGTTTCTGTCTCAGACTAAAACATTTCAATTCCTATTGCATGCTTTCAATGATATTAACTAGATTACTCCTGCAACCACATATGATATTTTGTGTTCCTAGCTCTGGGGTGTGGAGTACGACCCCATTAACCTCTTAACCTATAAAAGGAAGAAATGGCATAGCTGTGACAAGAGCTTCTCAGGTGTAGAGTTCAGAAGCTGCTCACCTGAGTCCTCACAGACGATGCTTATTTTGGGGAGGCAAGTACATAAATCACCCCTTTTGATATATGGCAAAATGGTTGACACAGGCTCTCATCATCCTGTATTTCTTTATTTCTCCTAACCTTTTGGCCAAAGGGGGCAATATTAGACATTCGAGCATGTTATTTTCTGTTTCCATATCAGTAGCTTTATTTACTGGGTAAAACAGTATTGCTAATCCACAGAAACTTATGAAGTATTACTGGCTATTCTTCAGAAAGAATCAAATGGCTGGTATAGCTGATTCAGAAATGAAAATTTCAAGAACCAAAGGAGTTTAAAAAAAAAAAACCCTTAAATTACTGTAAGACACACATTGTGGTTTCATATTGTTTTAAAAACAGAATATTTCCATAATTTCATGGTAGCTTTCAATGGGTTTATCTAGGTAGCAGTAATGATCTCATTCTTTGATATCCATGAAAATGATTGCTCCTGAACAGTTGAACAAACTTAGTGGAATTTCTAGATAACTGTCACTTTGTGTTCAGAGAGCATAAAGTCATTGGATTAAAGCATAAATCTTGGTTGTAGTCTAAAACCTTGTATTAACTATTTCTAATAAAATATAGGTCAGTAAAAGTCAGAGAGTGAACTCTTGTAGCTTAAAAGAAATTACAGTTAATTGCCAAGCACTCTTTTAAGAAAAGCTGCAACTTTTTTTTTGCATACAACGGCGTGAAAGGTAATAATTAAGAAGGATATTTTGACCACTTTTAGACATTAAGACCACTGATTTTCTTATTTCATTTTTTTTGTATTTTATAGTATTGAAGAGTGGAAAACTATGTCTAAATGCAAGAGACCTTCTATATTAAACATGGCACAAAATTCTTTTTTAAAAAAGATCTATTTTTATTGAACTGTATGTGTATATGTGTGTGCCATATGTGTGTAGGTCCTCACAGAGGCCAGAAGAGGGGATGTAGTTATGGGCAGCTGTGAGCCTCTTGTGGGTGTTTGGTGCTGAACTCAGATGCTCTGGAAAAGAATGAAGTGTTGTTAATCACCGAACAGTCTCTCCAGGCTCCTGAAATAAACAAAGAAACATCTGGCTTGACAAACTTTTCCTTTCTTTAAGTAATACTCTTTTTTTTCTCATCAATTATTAACATAACATTAATCATAACAACTCATATTCATACTTTTCCTCAGCCTTTTCCAAGTTATTATCAATTCCTATTCTATCTAAATAAAAACCCAAATATTCCAGTTTTGATGAAGAAATCTAATCTTTATTTCTATGATGTTAGCACAATATACTCACACGATAGCTTCGATCTGTACTTAACAAAATACATTTGTAGCACTTTACAAACTTCCTCAGTGTGGAAAACATCGCATAACATTTTATTAAACACAATACTTTGTATATATTATATATCCATAATTTTATTTACTTTAAAAAGATAATTAACTCTCTTTATTCAATACTTGGTTTTATCATCAATAAAGCACAGCCTAACAAAAGAAGAAGTGCTCTCGTTAGCAAATAAGATAAATAGAACACTAAGGAGAGATAACACCTGCTAGTCTGATTTGTTTTAAATTAAGGTACCAGTGGAATGTAAACAAAGTTTTTGTAATTATTCATTTTTTTTACAAAAGATGCGTTATCAAATATACATGCAGAGGTCTGAATCCTAGTGTCTATCGTTATAGTTTCTTAACAATGTGGTACAATTTGTTAAGTCATTAAAAACGGTAGCCTTTGGCACTCGGAGTAGAAAAAGAATATATCAATAGTATGTAAAGAAAAAGAATTCAATGACTAGAGAAGTACTTTAAAATCTTTTTTTTTTGTTAAGAAATAGGAAAGATTAGGAAATATCATATACTGCACCTCAAATACTGCAGCTTGGTTTTTCTTCAGAGTACTAAAACCAGTCCACCCTTCCCTCTAGGAACTGGCCAGGCCAGTAGGCGGGGACAGCGATGGTGGTGATGGTAGAAGTGGGGAAGGCAACATTTTACACCCACTTCCTTCTCTGAGAAGGAAATTGCCAGAAGGGTTACTGTTGAGTCTGTATTTTATTGCCAGAGTTTCAATTCTGCTGGTTTCAGCTAAATTCCTAACGCCTTAGGAGGTTGAGTTCTCTTAAAAAAAAAAAAAAAAAAAAAAAAAAAAAAAAAAAAAAAAAAANAAAAAAAAAAAAAAAAAAACCTCTGTCCTTTGCATGTAGACGTGGATAATGGGATGAAAGGATTCCTTGCTGGACAGTTGTTCTCACTGAAACCTGCACTGAGGTCAGACCAACCAGCTCTGCAGTTTTCTTTTTGCTGCCTCTTGGCAATCAAGTGTACAATATAATCCTTAAGACACGGCATTAAAGTATTTAATACCAAATTTCAAGAGCCAAATATTTCTCCACCCTATAAATCTCTAACCTGGAAGAATACTTCAAAATGTTTTGATGGTATTCTTCTTGCTACCAATAACATGGTTTCCTTTGATTGAGGCTCAAGGCTTTTGATTCAAGACAGGCAGCCAAAACTACAGGTTGCGGTCTAAGCACAAAAGCTGTGTCTACTCTGACGTCCTGAAGATACACTTTCTTACTTTATACTGTGAGACACTTTTATTTCTCGATTAGCGTTTGCCGAGATTATTACTGTTAGTGTCTCATTACAGGCATGTGAGGGAAGAGAGTCATGCTCGCCCCATCGTGGCTCCAGTTTATGATGAGATAATGCAAAGATGAAACGCGCTGGAACAAAATGAATTTTTATCATTGCTTACTGAAGCTGTAACCTTTGCCATCAGGTTGGAGACATCTTGAACTGGACCAACATGTCTGGCAACGGAACCCACAATCTCAACTTTTGGCTCAGATTTTCTTATTTATGAATTCACAGCAGTGTAGTTTGCACAAGGAATGTAAATAGTTAATATGTGTGATCTCAAAAACACTTAATAAACTAAGGAGAAGCCATAAAGTGGAAAATATAATCACAGTAATTTCAAAATATTCTCTAAAACAATGTTTAACTATGCAAATGTACTCACTAAAAATACCAGAAATCAGCATTACCAATACTTAAATAAAAAGGAGAAAAATGGTGCAGATAACTATTCCCTTTAACTGAAAACATTCCTACAGAGTTTCAGATATTGAAAAATGCATTTTTTTCAAAGAAATGCTCAGAACCCTTTTTAAACTTTTTTTTTCACTGTGAGAGGGCCACTACAGGGAAGCCAAGGATGGCCTAATCTGCCAAGGATGACCTAATCTACCACATCTTCGGAATGAAGGAGCATTTCTCTGACGAGGGATCGCACACCACTATTTCACAGCTAAGTAGAGTTTGAGAGTTTACATGGTCTATGCACTGGAATAATCAGCACCTCCCAGACTGAGCTTCTGGTGCAGATTCAGCCAAAAAAAAAAAAAAAAAAAAAAAAGAATAATATATAATACTGCATGGCCTCTGCTGTAGGGAAAACCTGTGTGGTTTGGGTTTCCACAGCTAATTATAATGAAAAAAAAATCTCAAAGTTGGCACATTCAGAAAGTTAAGTATTATATACATCGAAGGAAATCGCTTGGTCTTAATGCTGCCCTCTGCGAAGCCTCAGTGACGGACGGGTCTTAGGAACTGTTCAGATGGAGAGATCAATTGGGGCCTTGCTTTGTGCTTTTCCTTTCCCTCGGTGTAAAATCGCCACGATTTCTGTGGTAGTTCTATGAGAGTTCCGGACTGATGGTGAACAATCTAGTTGGGCAAGAAGGCTTTCCAAATCCTCCTGAAAAAAAAAAAAAAAAAGAAAAAAAAAAAAAAACAAAGGAAAAGAAAAACCAGAAAAGCACAGGTAGAATAAACGTGTGGTTCTGAGGGTGGTGGTGGTCACCCATATGATGGCACGAAGGGCCAATGCTCAATCCTTATAAGCCCGTGTGGGGGACGTTCCTTTGTAGAAGATGTTTCTCGTGTTCTCAGGGCTGTTGCTTCTCTCGGGGATCAAGACAATGTTGCCCTTTCTGCGCAGGGTGGAGTCGCGTGAGGAGGACACAGACAGCGTCTCTGAACCTATCTCGCTGCCCTCCACTGGGGTCACTCGGATGGTCGTGATGCCATGGTGGTGGTGCTCGTTGCTGTCGATGTTGCTTCTCTTGCGATCTCCAGACCCAAAGCTGTCTTTGAGGGACTCGCAGCTTTCCGAGTCCCTGTTGAGATCATTGAGCTCGTAGGTTTGGCGCAGGCTGCCCTTCTCTGGAGCTTTCCACTTCCAGGAGCCGCTGCCTTCTCCCTCGGTGGTGGATGGGATCTGAATGATAGGCCTGTTGTTCTCGGGGTGGGCCTCCACCCGCACGATGCCCCCGGGCTCGTGGTCTGTCAGGGTTTTGTAGCGGATGGAGCCTGTGCAGGTGACGGTGCTCCCCTCGGCATTTTTGGGGCTGCTCTGCAGCACGCCCTGTTGCTTGGACATGGCGATGACCTGCATGATGCGTGGCTGGCTGTTGCTCCGGTTACAGGCCACTGTCTTCTCTGCGGCTTTCAGCCACTTGGCCCGTGCAGAACTGCTCTTGGGCGAGGTGCTTATGTTTTCCTGGGTCTCCTCGGGGATGTGCACCAGTTGAGAGGAGCCAGGGCGGGACTGGATGGACACGCGTGGCCCACCAGGCATGCTATTGTTGCACCCGGGGACAGAGCCAGGCTGGATCTTGAGGTATTGACTGCCTGGGACATGGTGGTCTCCGTTCACCCCTACCCTGGAAGGCTCTGAGCTGGACCTCATTTCTATGGACCTAGGTGGTGACTGCCCTTCTGGCTCAGTGTCCATAACCTGCAGGGACATCTTGCGACTCTCGTTCTTGCTCTTCCACTGGGTGAGGAGCTGCTTGGACCGGGCAGAATCCATGGAGGCGTGGATGCTCGCGTTTCTTCTCACGGGGTCTTCCACTGAGGGGGTATTGGCTCTGGGCAGCGTGTTGCTGAAGGTCACCATGCTCTCTTTCCCCATGGGACTCCGAGGGGTGATGATTTCTACGTCAGCATTGGCCCTCTTGAGATTTGTTAAGGAGCTTGCATCCCTGTGGTTTCGGTTGAGGATGCCCTCTGTGTGAGCAATTCCATCACTGCTGCTACCATTTTTAGCTGATAGAACCCTGCTGGCGTCTTGACTGAGGTCTGTCAGTGACCTGAAGGCATCTCTCTGCTGGAGCATACTCTCTTCACTAGGGAGAAAATTCCCCACAGCATACAGGCCCTGGTGTTCGAGGGAAAACAACAAACATCACACACTAGAAGATGCCATTAATCACGTTTCTCTTAGAATACCCACAGTTGAGGAAGGTACTGAGCATAAGCCGAGGACCAATAGAACAATGAAAAAGTACAATTAGGGGGTAGCATTAACTATCTAGATCATTGGACTAACTGCTTAGAAATAAGGATGATTCCTTTCAGTTCCACCAGAAGTTGTCACACCCTCTGTATGTGTTTTTTTTTTAATTTTTATTGCTTTATAAATAATACCATTCAAAATTTCCACCTCCTCCCCTCCTCCCATTTCCCTCCCCCCTCCCCCACTAGTTCTCCCCCCTCCCCTTCCAATTCTAAGAAAGGGCAAGGTACCCTGCCCTGTGGGAAGTCCAAGGCCCTCCCCACTCCATCCAGGCCTAGGAAGGTGTGCATCCAAACAGACTGGGATCACCAAAAGCCAGTACATGCAGTAAAGACAAATCCCAGTGCCATTGTCATTGGCCCTTAGTCAGCCCCCATTGCCAGCCACTTTCAGAGTCCAGTATGATCACATGCTCCTTAAGTCCCAGTCCAGCTGGCTTTGGTGAGCTCTCATAAAGGAAAGACAGACAATGAGAGAAGTATGGACATTTTCCCCTGCCTTCCAAAGTTTTTCTTTATTCTTTTTTTTTTTTTTTTTTTTTTGGACTAGTAGCTTCTTTTTGAGTGACAGCCCAAGAGGCTTGAATGATTCATGTTCCCTCCCGTTTTCAATCACTCCTGATGGCAAGCAGAGGAGTGCAGGGAAATATAGAACAGGAACCATTCCTGAAAACACGGAGTGGGGTTTAGAAATGAGGGCAGCGACATACATTGTTGCAAGTCACGCTGACTTCAGCCTTCCTGTCTGCTTCAAACTTGACCTTTAAGTGGGAAAGTTGGATTAAAGTGCTGCTTTGTATCAAATGTGGGCCAAATTGTACTTAATTTTGCCTGCGTTCTTAGACCCTCAGTTTTATTTGTTTGAGATTTGGAAAAGGTTACATTTCTGTTTCAAAATTGTTATCCTGGTTACAGGAGATCTAATGCCTGCTGGATTTCCAGAGGCAGGTTCATGGTTCATGAAGCCGGTGTCTACCTGTGAGTTATTTCAATTGGAGGTGGCTGGTTCTACCACTTAAGTCTAAGTAATGCGATTTTATGATTTTAATATTTTATAGACTGCTTGATAGTGAGGAGTAGCATATATTTAGGAATGATAATGCACCAATTTCAGAGCACAGAGTGCAAATGGAATAAAAATAAAATTCTCTCTCTCTCTCTCTCTCTCTCTCTCTCTCTCTCTCTCTTTCTCTGTGTCTGTGTGTATTGAAATAGGATCTCACTATGTTACACTAGTTGGCCTGAAATTTGTTATATAGATCAGGCTGGCCTCAAACTTATAGCTGTTTATCTGTCTCTGCCTCTCAAGTGCTAGGATTTCAGGCATGTGCCATCATATTTAGACTGATTTTTTTTTATTGTTTTTGAGGTTTCACTAGGTAGACCAGGCTGCCCTCAAAATTGCAGTTCTGCTGCTTCAGTCTCTTAAGGCTACAGGAGTGAGCATTGCCCTGGCTATCCTTCAGTGTCTCCTTTTAAATACCTGTGCTCTTACCACCAGGATATGCTTCCTAATACTCTACCAATAATTGCATCGCATTGGTAAAGTTGAAAAAAAAATCTGCCATGGAACTTCAAGTTCTGACCCTATTGTATAATATTCAGTGCTCAGAATGGTAATATAGTTATTTAATTCTCATTTTGAAAGAAATATGACATAAGTCATAATTAATTAATTAATGAGGCATTGGAAATCAAACCAGGGGTTTGTGTGCTCTACTTTTTTTGTGCTCTATACATCTACTTCAATATTTTTGTTCTGTGGGTAAAGAATCAAGACTATGAGTGGCCAGGAAGAGTTGAACTTCATACCTACATCCTTTGGATCGGTTGGAACACTCATGTGAGTGTTAGGGTACCGTGATCTTACACGAGTGCAAGGAGATGCACAGACTATGGAGTGGAAGCTCTTTTCCCCTTCTTTTACAGCACTCAGTCACTGGCCAGTCAGTAGTCCAATAGCCACCCTGGCCTATGTGCCATGATTCCACACTGACTTCAGTGTGATCCAGGTCCTCTCTGCTGAAGAGGGCATGTGAGAGTAAAGTTTAAAGTGTTATCACCAGCTCTGCTTTCTTATGAAGAGGAAGAAATTAATTGCACACCTCGGGAATATTTCTTCTTCGAGATCCTTTGTTTTTGTGATTCCATTCTTACAAGTACCAAGATCACATGACTGTGGCTAGGGACAACTGATTTTTATTTCTGTCAGCTCCCTTAGTTTCCTTCTTGTTGCCTGTTCATGTCTGTCACCAGCATGTTGGTTATCCTGGAAACTTTTTCACTCTGTGACCTGGCAATTTTGCATACTCTAAATAAATGCAATGATGCATCTATAAGTAATGCCCCTGGCTTCCAACGTACTCATGGCTCTTCTGTCCTTCAGACATAGCTACTAAAATGCCTATTACTTAATAATCACGAGCTCCTTAAATGTGTTTCTATCCAGCAATATGTTAGCTGGATTATTTATCTAGTCTACTAGTGTGATAACCATAAGTCTAGTCTTCCAACTTATAAATTTGGTCATTGTTTCTCACTCCAACACTTCCTTTTCTCTCTGATTGCTCTTTAACATCTTTGTGTGGTAATCTCTTCTCCCTGAATGAGCTCTGTATTTTATTTACCTTAAAATGTTTTTAGCCATATCCTTTCTAGAAAGGGTTACTTGATGCTCCTCTGGCAGTTTCCTGTCCACAAGGAATCACATCCCATCACTAAGTATGTTGTAACCATTTATGCTGATGCTTGTCTTTACATGAGACAAGCATCAGGAGACATCTTATTTCCCTTAGTTTTATAGTGGATAACAATGTGTAGATAATGAATAAGGAAGGTGAATTAAAGGATGTGTGCATGACTGAGTTCAGTAGACAGTGTTGGTCTCCGTATAATGCACATACCCATCTTGAAGGTTTTTAGTGTGTTTGAGAGATTAAAAAGCTTCACTCTTGGTTGGAACATAGCTGCATTCAGAAAAGTGCCACTTTGTGTTGTTGGGGGAAATTATAGCAACTTTTACTAAATCCTCACCATTCCTAGTTTTACTTATATCTGCTTTCCTCATGGATAAAATTTCAGTATACAGGGTATTACCTCTAAGAAAGGAATATAACAATTTTCAAATCAATCTTGGCTCATAAAAGAAATCATTAAATCATTTTATTGGAAGTAGAGAATAATTTGCCTTAGAATAAGATGCACCCTGGGATTTTCTCATGAATATAAATGCATCATGAGTAAATTATTATTTTACAAAATATCCTATGCATGCCTTTCCACATTAAACTGCACTTCACTAAATAGTAAGAATGTTATTTACCAAATACAGGGCGATTCCTCCTCCTATTAAAAAGCCACAATAGACATCGACTGGGTGATTCTTATACTGAGTTATCCGTGTTAGCCCGCAGATGATTCCACAGATGATAAATGTAAAGACCAAGAGAGGTTTCAGGAGCTTGGAGGAATCGGTTAATGTGGAATTGAAGTACATCTGTAAAATGAAAGACGTGAGGTAAGTATGCTAGAAAGGCCATTGTGTTAGAAGAGTCTAAGCAAATAAAAAGTTCAACTCAAAAGTTTGGCTGACACACTTGACATAACTTTCACCCATTCCCCTTGCCATGGCTAAGTTCTCAACTGACCTAAGAGGGAAGTGCCTGACAACATTCATAAGATACACAGCCTCGCTCTCCTTTAATTGCAGGCAAGTCTGCAACATATCAAAGCAGTAGGTTTTCCCCTAGAATCCTAATATCCCTCTTACGTACCACAAAACTTCGGTACATTCGTCTCACAAAAGACTACTCAGGCTGTGGTGTCAATCAAACACCAGGACTCTTCACTGTGTAACACTTATCAACCTGACCGTGACCTAGAACTCGCTATTGTTACATAAACACTGAGAGCTGTGTTCCTGTCTGTGTCTTTGTACACGTCCTTAACAAAAGGCCTTTGGTTTCTGCCACATTTGTGTATCACATAAATGTTTCCCCACCAAGTATTGTGTTCCAAGGGCCCAAGGGTAAGCAAATATTATGACTCATTGTGGAAGAATTCTTTGATTCTTCCTTTTTTTTTTTAAAAAAAATGAAAAGTAGCATCTGATAATGGCTTTAGAAGCTATTGTATTAAATTATAATCTAATTAGTCACCTGGAGGAAATACTCATTCCTCAGCTTTCCTCTAGGTCACAGTTTAGCAACCAGGAGCTTATTACTTACCGACACGTACACAGCGGCAAAGGCAGCAAGGGTCGCGTGTTGGGACGGGAATGACTTTCTGCCAAGGGAAGACAGTCAAATTGTGCATTTAGTCTGAATGCGCTGCCAGCCACCATTGCAAGAAGACAGGGTAAGATGTTCAACTTCAGGTCACGAAACAAGAAGTTATAACCCTAATTTATATTTGGTTTACTGAGAAAAACCAGAGTGATTACAACCCTTGGGAACACTGCTGGCCATCATGAGTATTAAAGAATAGCGGTGACATACTTTTTAGTAAGAAATGAAATGAAAGGAAGTGGAAGACATGTATGAGGTTGGCAAAGGGACACGTGAAATGAGTTGGAAAGTAACTGCGTTTTGATTGCAGGTAGATCAATTCCTTGTTAAAGTCCATAAAATATAGGGCTTTGATGTTTTATGTGCTTTTTCTGCCCTGAAATAGTTTCATGGCAATAAGTAAGGACATTATTTTCCCATACAAGGGGATCTTAATGTACTTTTATACTCTAAAATGCACAGAAAAGCCCTGCTTTAACAAACTGCCTCTCTGCAGAGCTTACTTAAATGTGACTGCTACTTCTAAAACAACACAGAATTTTCTTAAGTTGAACAACTTTAGGAGCAAACTTCATTTGGGACACTGATCAGTGGAACATACACAGAGAAGATACACAGGAAAAGGATTAGAAATTTCTTTCAGTGGATTAAAAACATGGAAATAAACGTCATTGATATTATTTCTTTTCTAATTATTTGTTACTTTTTATATTGTTATAGACAATAAAATATGGAAGTATTGAGAAAGAATACAGGACATGGTTCTTCGGCATAAATTCAAAATTACTAAATAGTCCATGGGAATTTGCTTTGTTGAGATGTCAAAAATAATAACTCCAATTTTTATAATAATTATCTAGAACTCTGCATCTCTCTACTGATTTTTTTCAGCACCTCAGAAACTTCCTCTTGTCTTATAAGTGTATTTTGCTATATTGATTGAAAATAACTTAATGTAGTAGTAGTTTCATGTCCTTAACCTTCTGAACTTTAAAGTCAGGAGCTGTTTAACATTTATGTATTTATGCTGCTTCTTTGTATACTTGAGCAAAAGAAAAATTTATATAATTTTAAAATAAGTGATAAAGAAGAGACAGAAGACGGATTTTTGGTATTTGACTAAGTGAGTCCAATGCACATAGTGTCTGTCAGCTATAACAAATGGATCATTACTGTCTTAAATCAATTGTAGTAGAACACAAAATATAAGTTCAAGCAAAGGAGGGCTTGTAGCAAAAATGTGAAACTGAAATTTGGAGACTTCAAGAAAAGGATTTGGAACAAGTCACTAGCAGATCTCATGTTATGGTTATAGAATTGATTGTTGCATTGATAATAGAAGCAAAATACAGATCATCATACTGAAAACGGCATGCTTGGGTGTGCAATGTTTGCACGACACAGGGACTGGCATGGACTAGTTTTAGAGTTCTGTTTCCAACCTGCCACTGTTGATCACTGTAAGGTCAGATCCTGAACAGATATCCTCCACGATGTAGGAATTTTCTTTGCAGGATACATTCAGAGAGGTGTAGTTCGGCTTGCACACAGTCAGAAAGTACGGGGCTTGGTACCCTGTGGAGAGCTGTATGATGTCTGTAATGAGAGCCGTGGAGCACAGTCCAAACACATGGACACCTAGAAGCAAAGCGGAAAATGTTGTTACCAACGCGATGGCTAACGCTGGGTTTATATTAGTGTCAACTCTGTTTATTGTACATTAGTGTGTTGACCTTATAATGTGCCGTCATTTTTTCTAAGGTAATTTGAGAGGTAATATAGACATTTCTAAGCTTCTACGTTGATATTTAAGGGCGAGAATTTACCAGCTAGTCAATAGACTAGAGTTACTCTTGTCAATTAGGGAAAATATTTTATATATAAATATTTGCTTTTAATTAAGCGTGTCTAGGTGTAGGTCTGTATACATGTTCATACAGGTGCCTGCAGAGTACAGAAGAAGGTATCAGAGTTCCAGAGCTGGAGTTCCAGGCAGTTGTGAGTGGCCAGATGTGAGTTCTAGAAATTGGACTTGGGTCCTTTACAAGAGCAGTGTGTATTCTGAACTGATAAGCCATGTCTTCAGTGACTAAGGTCAGTTTTTAATATGATTTACCATAGGTCACTTTCCATCTATCTGGGGGAAAAAGTTGAGGAAAGATTAGAAAGGGACAGAATATGAGAAATGCAATAGAATTGAAAATGCTTTTGCGTTAACGTTATTTTTATTTTGCTGTCAACTGAACTGATTCATGGCAATCTGTGTGATCATGGGTTTGCATCTGGTCTTTGGAGTCTGGTGGATTTGCAATTAAGACAATGACTGCCCCTACTCCCCAGTCCATCAGTAGCTAAATGGTTCAGTAATGTGGAAAACAACTTGTAGGGAGGAGGAGAAGTTGACAGGGATAAAGGAGATAAAAGCAAATCAGGAGGTGAGAGTAGTAACCATGCATTAAATGTAGTTATAAAACTGTCAAAGAACAGGTTTAATAAAAGTTACTTAACTCTGTAATAAAATGTATACAACACAAGTTTTTAAAATGACAATTTAAGGGGGCTGGAGAGATGGCTCCGTGGTTAAGAGCATTGCCTGCTCTTCCAAAGGTCCTGAGTTCAATTCCCAGCAACCACATGGTGGCTCACAACCATCTGTAATGAGGTCTGCTGCCCTCTTCTGGCCTGCAGACATACACACAGACAGAACATTGTATACATAATAAATAAATATTTTAAAAAAATGATAATTTAAAAATCCTGAGCATTTCTGAGGGGTTCGGACTCTTTTCTCACCTTGGTCTCTAACTCTAGGCACAAGTACTGAACCCCAGAGTCCATTCTACTTCTCTATAAAGCGCAGTGCTGCTGAGAATGATAACTGAACAAAGAAGGGAGAAAGCAGGATTTGCCGTAAAAACAAAACAGAAGTTACAGCCTGGGTAGCTCTGGGAGCTGCCGTATTCGGTGATGATGTCCTTATATATCCTGCCAGACTTTCAATTGTATATCCTGGGACCAATCTTAAATTACAAATCCTCAAGCTCTATGTTATTTGAAGTCACCTGCTTGGCTCATCTTGTGAGTAGTTCCTTCTAAGGAAGGCATAGATGATTTAGAACATGCCTACTCTTCCCAGGCTGTCTTGACTCCCTGAATTCATTCTGACTCAATTGCTTGCATTCTGATTCATGAGATGCTCACTGAAATCATTCTAAAAGACCCTTTCATCACCTCCAGACCAAGAGTGTTGGATTACACTGATCTTCATTTTTCTTCTCCAGCCATTGTCCTCTAATCATCACAGCCTCAGTTCCTTCCGAATTACACCAGGAATTCACAGCATGGAATGGAAAACTGATATCTGTATTCCAGTTCCAAGCCACATGCATAGGGTCTACTCTGTTTTTTTTATGTATTTATGTATAGGTGTGTGAGTATGAACATTATTATGAGGGTGCCCATAGAGAACAACGGAAAGTGTCAGACCCCACAGAACTGAAGTTTCAATCAGTTGTAAGCTGCCTATTATGGGGTGTGTCTTGGAGTCAAACTCCGGTCCTCTGAAAGAGCAGCAAACATTCTTAACCATTGAGCCATCTCTTCAGTCCCCCTAGGAGTCATTCTTAACACGATACAGCATAGGACACAATGTGCTGGACATGAAGAGCAGACAGTGTGATATGAGATTTGCTTGATCCAGGTAAAGACTGAATAAGAAGGGAGTCAACTTATTTTACGTTTAGGGAAATGAGACTCTGCAGGCCCAGGCTGGGTGAGGTTGCAGACAGCATCATTTCAGAGTATACACTTCTTTGTCCATAGCATTATATTCTATTATGGAAAACTTTCTCTGGGTTCAGCTTTTGTCTTGGAGTTCTATTTCCTTATCTCAAATGTTGCTAAGTGGGCTACTGCTTTATTACTATACCAATATGATGGAAAGAAGATACCTTCAAAAAGCAGGGTTTAGGAAATTATTCAGTCAGTCAGGGAGAGAAAATTTCATGTAATTATTCATGAGATATGAGGCTACCAATTTCTTTATGCTGACAAGCTATAGGTAAAAATACCCTAATATTGATTTATTGGGATGAACATAAAACCTTCAGGTTGATTTCTGGTATCGTAGATGATCATTTAAATCAGTAAAAAAATGTAAAATAAAATCTGTGGCTCAAACTTGATTCTGATGGTCCCATGCTAATTGTGATTTAGGAATTAGTGTGAGTCAGATATTTAGTTAGTCAGGCCTGTGGTTTTCTTATAGGCTTCATTAAAAAAAAAAAGTAAGGTGTGTGTGTGTGTGTGTGTGTGTGTGTGTGTGTGTGTGTGTGTAAAGGAGTCTAACCAAGAAAAAGTAGCCAGGATGTAGCAGTCTAGTGTGACATATCCATCCATAGTGACTTTGGGATGAAACCACTAAGAAACAGACTCACTTATGTGAATAAGTTAATTTCTGAAACTTTGTCAATTAACGATGACCTACTGCCATTAAAAAATAAAATAAAACGAAGAGTGGTGCCACACTCCTGCTATCCTAGCACGTGGGAGGTAGTGGCAGGAGGCTGAGGAATTCAAGGCCAGCTTCAGCAACATATTAAATAGAGGCCACATGGAACTTGCCCCTACTTTTTTCCTTCTCCCACGGGAAAAAGATATCAAAACCTAAAAGATACACTTTGTGAAACTATTTTAAAGTAAACTTATGCTTCAACTAGAGTTTGGCAGAATGCCCTGAAATGTGTGGTGTGCTAGCTCACAGAATCAGGGCTATGACTCTAAATAACACATTTTCGATAGAGATCCTAGATTCTGATTTTTAAAAAACAGTTTCCTGTATAATGTGAAACTCACGCGTACTGAACGTATACATCTAAATTACAGCTTTAAGGGTTTAATATCTGTAATTAAGACAATCGTATTTCTATGCAGAAAAGCATTTCTCTTTGGCTCCTCACACCCACCAACGAATCTGACGGCTCTTCTGAGAAAGGAGTTGAAGTTGCAGCCCCCGGCATTGATGTGGGGTTCCAATCCAGCCCCATTTCTTCTTTTGGAAAGGCAGCAGTATAGAATCCCTTCTCCCACCATGATCTGCAAAGGCCACACGGTGTCAGCAAGAGTGTCACTGTACCTGCACACTCGCAAGTATACACTATGCATCATCCGTTCACACATTGTCAATTCAACAAAGAGAAAATGTATCTTTCTGGGCACTTCAGAAATGTAAGCAATTTATTCTGGGGATTTAGCAAGCAGTGAGAAACAAGCAATTAGGGCACTGTAAAGAGTTCTGGCTGTGTCTTGTCTACTCGCATTTGTCAAAGGTGTGAAGATGTCTCTGAATTTCAATTTGATTAAAAGAATCACCCCTTGGTATTTTGCTCATCACACCCAGTAATTCAATCAACCGCACAGTTGCTGATTCTGCTCTAGCTTTGAGATTCTTGACATCAATTCCAAGATGCCTTAGAAGAATCAAATAAATATGGAGTTAGTATCAGAAACATTTGACAAGCAGATTTGGTCAACAAAACACTTTCTAATTTAGCAGAAGGAAAATAAATGCATGGAAAGCGTGTCTAAGTATAAAAGTACTATTGAGTATAGCCATTTCGCACATATTTCAGTAGGGATGGAATGATGTTTTGTATTGGTTAATATGGTAGCAACCACTCCCATGTAGCTGCCAACAATTCAATGTAGGCACTGCAAATGGATCAATTATATAATGTTAATTCTACTATATTAAAAGTTGAAAATTAAATAAATTTAGACATGAAAAGGTCACACGATGGAAGGCTATCTATTGTTTCCAGTGCATGCAGCAACACAGGAGAGGAAGCATCATGTGATAAAGGCTTCTGATGGGGAATGTAGCAATTGGACTTCTTCCAAGTGACTCAGGGTTTATTTGCTCAGTTTATTCACTCATAGCTTAGTGAACAAACAACTTTACGTCTATAAAGTGTGAGTTATTCAAATGATTGCATATAAACAATCCATTTTACCAGGATCGTATACACCCTGATGTACTTTATCTGTTTTATTCCAGATATATCAATTAAATCCATATATTGTATTCTGGCTGAGAAATATTTCCTGATGTGATAGGTTTAAAACAAATATACCATTTCCTCCATGGTCAAATGACTAAGCAAAATGATGGAAAGATGTTGCTATTTGAAGAAATGTCATCCATTAAAAAGCTTTCTCTGCTTCCAAGTGCATCATAAATACTTCTAATCCTTTGAATTCGCTGGAGCTCAAATACCATTTGTTTGCAGCGTGACTAAATTAGGTCTCAATTATTTTATCCAAATATTTCATTAAATGTATATATAGTATAAATAATAAAAATATTATTTACTCTAGGGGTAATACTTGGAGTACAGAATCATGGTTACATGAAAGTATAGAGTTTAGAAAATCTACAAAGAAACTTTCTAGAAACTGTTGATATACTGAAACTCAAAAGGCCAGTGCATTAGAGAATCTTATAAAAGATCTGTTTAATTGTGCCTTTTGATTTCATAAATGTTCAACATTGATGAGTGTAGTGAAAGAACCTGAGATGAGCGAAGGCTCCTTCTGGCATAAGTAAACAACACCACCCAGGAAATGTACTTCTTTTCTTTTAGGCAAGTAGTGTGAGGGCAGAAGAAATGGCAGGAAGGCTTACCTAACCTTATTTATCAATGGATGTACATGAAACATGCTATTTTTGATGTGTTGTAACACATCAAAACAACTGTTTAGAAATTTAATACCAAGGAAATAAATACCAGTGAACATATAGGCAAATGAACTGGCTAGATAATTTTCAAAAAGAGAAATATAAATGGCAAATAACTATTTTAAAAGTTCTCAGTATTCATAGCTATCAGAAATATAAAAATTAGAATTACTTTAAGATATTACCTTTCCTCAGTGAGAATAGCTATCATCAATAAACATGATAAGAAATGTTGGAGGGGACACAGAGAAAAAGAAAGCCCTATGCACTGCTGGTGGAGGCAAAATTAATATAACCATTGTGGAAATCATTTGGAAATTTCTCAAGAAATTAAAAATAGAACTACCCTATGACTCCAGTGTTTATTTATGGGCATATATTCAGAGAAGCCCATACCCTTCTCTAGAGATATTTGCACACCAGTGTTTACTGTTGCTTTATTCACTATAATAATGAATTGGAATCAACTTCGTTGTCCATCAACAGATGAATAGATATTGAAAATTTATATGTATATAAAATGGAATACTATTCGGTTCTAAAGAAAAAAAATACAATCACAAAATTTGCTCTAAAGAAAAAATGCAATCACAAAATTTGCAGCTAAATTAACTTAGAATGTGCAATAGTAAGCGATGTTATACATTCTCAGAAAGATCAAACTGCATGCCTTCCCCTCACATGCAGAATCCGGTCAGTAATGCATGCACACAACTAAACAAGTGTACATGTTGGTACAGTGTGCCATGTAGGAAAGAGAGCAAAGGAAGTTAAATACCAGGGGATGAGGATGGGCTGAATGCAGGAAATGGGCATGCGCTCATTATGAAAGAGGATATAAAAATTGCTGCTTAGTTCTAACCCTGTAATGGATTTTCCATTTTTTTGTTGTAGATAATTACATAAATGCATAAGTAAAAATATCAAATAAAATGTGAAGCTCCCCAACTTCAATATAGAAATTCTTTGATTGCATAGTCTTTGCTAATTTTAACTTGTAATTTTCTTTTGCAACATTTATTTATAGTAGTAGGGTTTCATACTAAAAATAACTGTGTTTTAATTCATATTTGATAGATTGGATGTGTGTGTGTGTGTATGTGTGTGTGTATGTGTGTGCAGTAAGCATGAATACATGACCAAAAGTTAAGTTTTGAGCTTTTTACACTTGGTAAGTCTCATTGATTATAATCAGCATAAAGTACTAATTTAGTAAAATTTAACCTACAAATGTTATTAAAATCATTTTTGAACAGCAAATAATTATTTTCATCTCCCTGGAATTCAGGTAGCAAACAAAACATTAAAAATACATCAATTAAAAATATATCACCAATATCCATTAAGAAGAATTGTCTAGTTATAAAATCTTTTTCATAAATGCAAACATCATTTTGGAAATTGTGGAATTTTTAAAACTGAATGCCATCAATTTTAAGCAATCAACTACCTGATAATGTCAATATGCAATATATCCCAAAGACAAGACCTTCCCAATCCAAGGGGGTTAGAGTTCATCTTTTTCTTGTTTTTTTTTTTTTTTTTTTTTTTTTTCCACACTTGATACACAAACTGAATCAGTTTTTGTTTTCTGGGATTAAACAATAAAATTTGGGGTCAATTCTTACCGTAATTGCAGGTCCAGCAAAAGCCAAGCTAAGCAACATGAGGAACGGGATGGCCTCCTGGGTTGGCTCAATGTAGGGCATGCTAAGACTCCGGTCATAGCAGCTGAATCCAGAGTGCACAGGTTTGAAGACATCTGTGAGCTCCAGGAAATAGAGGCTAACCACCGATGATGCCAGTATAGGCAACTGAGGGTGAAAGACACAGGAAACAATCTATTTTTGTAAATAGGACAAATCGGATCAGTACAACTTGAAGTCTGAAACTGATGGAATTTTCCCCTTCTGTCACGGCCCCTCTGTGGGGCAGAATAAAATGCATTCATAACGTGCTGTGGGTTTGACGTTCGCAGTATGCCTCCTGGTCCTCTACTTTGCCAGTACACTCTCATCTGTTACTCTTTGCCTAGTCTTTCCACCTTTCTCTTCACTTACTCGTCCTCTTATCCACTTCCCCACCACTAACGCCACAAGAAGACTTTTGGACATATTCCAACTCATCTCACTTCCCACCGTATTGGTTGCCATTCTCACCTGAACTGAATCCAAACGTTTAACATGAACAGAATCCAAGAGCTACACCATGGAATGGAACTTTCTTCAATATGGTTTCAATGTGGCCTTGGTTTCAGTCTCACGCTTCTATCACTCCTCAACTCGCTACTGGTCACGTTCAGATGGTTCTTCATGCTTGTCCTGTCAGAGTCCTTCCCAAGGTCCTTTGCCTCTGCATCTCCTTTTCCTTTCATCTCCTTTCCCTAATTCTTTTCATGAAAGACATCTCTCCATGATTAATGGGATGTCCTACATCCTCTAGCTATGGTGACCTTTGATCCATCTTCAACCTTGTCATCTCTCTTGATTTTTCTTATTTATTTATTTATTTATTTATTTATTTATTTATTATTTATTATGTATACAATATTCTGTCTGTGTGTATGCCTGGAGGCCACCAGACCTCATTACAGATGGTTATCAGCCACCATGTGGTTGCTGGGAATTGAACTCAGGACCTTTGGAAGAGCAGGCAGTGCTCTTAACCGCTGGGCCATCTCTCCAGCCCCTTGATTTTTCTTAATAGTACTTATTAATTAAAATTATTTTGTGAATTAACATTATGTTAGCAAAATTAGCAATTATTTAATTTTCTTCTTCTATAAAGTATAAATAAACTACAACAAACAATTAAAGAAGTAAGAATCTGCCAGTGTTGTTTATTGCTGAGACCCTGGAGTATAAAACTATTAGTTTAACATAGTAACATCTAAAACATCACTTAGTAGTTATAGTGGCCAATTGCTACTTATCAATAGATGACTAACTGAATAAAAGTGTAAACCCTAATGTATTACAGAAAATATATTGAAGTTGCCAGGTTTAGCAAATAAAAAAGCATGCTAACCAGTTAAATAAACATTTCAAATTGCAATAACTAATTTTTATTGTAAGAATATCCCGTTCAATGATTGAGAAATACACAAAAATTATTCAATGTTTTTCTTAAGTTTTGATTTCATTGGCTACCTGTTTGACTACCCTTAAACCAATCACAATGTAGCTTCTAACCTTTTGTTTTATATAATTTGTGAATTTTTCTTTCATTCAGCCTATAACGCTCCAGGTTCTCACTACACAGAAGTTAGGTATCATAGAGAACATGATGTGCAATTTGCCATCCAGGAAAAAAAAAAAAAGCCTAGAGAATGAGCTACTGTCAGTTTGGAAGAAAATATGAATTCTTTGCTATAGTAGTCCTGTCAATGCGAACAATATAGACTTATGCATTAATCAATGTTTAGTTTGGCACTGGGAAGATGGTTCGATCAGCATACTGCTGCATATGTGAACATTTGAGCTTGATCCATGCAATAAACTGGCCGCTACACACACTTAATCCTAGAGTTTGGGAGGTGGAAAGAGGAGAGTTCCTGGAGCATACTGAGCAGACAGTCTAGCAGAATTGATACAGTTCTTTCCCAGTGAGCAGTCCCATCTCAAGACCAAGATGGAAAGTGACCGAGGAAGACACCCATCAGTGGCTTGCCTCTCCAGACGTCCCGCCCCCCCCCCCCCACACACCATGGTTCCCTTCTTTAGTTTAAGGTTTTGATATTTGTGGAATACATAATGTTTACATAACTAAACTGGAAAGATATTTTATAAGAACATGATTAACCAGTGATGATTTCTGGCTATTTGTTTAAAATATAAATTTTCAAGATAGAGTTACACTTTCTATTTCCAGGAAGTCTTTATTTGTAATGAACTGAGCATTAGGTTTATTGGAAAAATTAGTGATGAATGGTGATTACTCTACTTGTGGCTTTTCAGATGGGTGGTGTCTATGGAACAAAACATTGCGTTGAAATATTTATGCTTTATCTTATCCATTAGCATTCGATGACTCGAAACAGCTTGCTATTTTTTCATACTCCTTCCTAACTTGGTCTACAGTGATAGTAGCTTTTCATCATGAACAATGAAGCAGTTCTCCCTGGTGTGTACATGTGACTGAAATTCCCATTTCAGTCTGGATTAATATATTTTATCTTTAATTTAGTAAGTAGATCATGCCAGATAATTTCCTGCTTTGGAAACTGATGCGATTCATTGATTTTGAATTCACTTAATTTAAATCTTATTGCTTGGCAGATAGGTTATATTGCTGTCCTCATTTTTATAGGTGATAAGCATTCATAATAACAAGTGGCAGAGTTAGTTGTTGAACCTAGCTCATTCCAAAGTCTTACGTATTAAAAACTACTCTATCTTCCTTTCCAAATATTAAATAGAAATAAATGTTTCATATAATGAATTAATGGCCTACATCAATTTAAAGGATAACTGTTAGCTTGTGGCTGTTCTGTATTTATCACTCTTTAGTGAAGCTATGCATTAATTAGTATAAATAGACTTTATCTTAAATATGTGGTTTCTATAAAACTGGAAAGAATTTCTCTACATATTTGAATGCTAAATATTTCATCATTAATCAGATTTCTCCATCTACTTTCTATCCTTTTTTTTCCTGAAAAATTTCTTGTGTCACCTACATGTACTTTGCACATGGGAGTCAGAATTGTGATCTTCAGTGCCCATCTGGATAACATGTGACGATCAATTTTTTTAATGCTCATAAACTTACAAGTGAGCAAAAATTTTACCAATATAATCAATCTGAAAATAAAGTTGCCCTTATTTGTCAGAGACATATCCCCCATAGGACGTTTGTGTCTGATCACATGTAGACTCCATGCTCGACTACATTAACAATGACATAGCTAAAGAATGAAGGTATTATTTTCAGTGCATATGCATGGGCAATGTGAAAGAATGCTTAGAAGTTTGCAGTGTAGTAGAACCAGTGGCGTCGAATGGCTTTCACGTGGCTAGGAGGGCCTAGTTCCAGTATGTTCACTGTACCAGAGATCACATTGGAAGGGCTTCTTCAATTTCAGTTTTCTTATCTCTGAAAGTAGCTATGTTATGAGTACCCATCCCTGCCAGTCAGCTGACACTAAGAAATGTGCTATTGTAAACAAAATGACAAATGCCTGGGATAGAGGATCAGCGCTTTGATCCCATTGTGCACTTTCTTTTCTACCCGTGACTTCAGCTACCCATGATTTAAAAATATTAAGCAGAGAACCTATGGATAAATATGCAAAACACCCATAATGACTTTTATTATAGGGTATGATAATTGCTCAAATTTATTATTTGTGTTGCTAATCTCTCCCTGTTGCTAATTCCTAAGTTAAACCTTATCATAAGCCTGTGTGAAAAGAAAAATGCACACAGGGTTTCTATAAACAGCTTCAGGTACCCTTAGCCATTCCTGGAATAGAACCTCTACAAATGGTTTATGGCTGCTGCCTAAAGTTGTCCAGTGTAATTGTATAATGTTAGCAATATGCTTCTTATATTTCTCACCTTAATTTCCTAGGACTTCTTTTTTTCAGGGAATTATTGAATACTGCCCCCCCTTTTTTATTGTTTTGGAGTTAGGCAGACTGGGTATATAGAATGGGTCTGATGCTTTCCCCAACTAATATCTTTAGGCCGTGGTCTAATCATACTTCCTATATTGCCATTAATGGTTGCTGATACAATAATAACTTCCAAATAGATACACATGCATTGGTACACGCAAGCAATAAGTTACCTTGTGAATGAAAACAATGTCTATTACTAATCTCTAGGTCTTTTTGTCTTTTTCACATTAGTCAATTTTTGTAGCTGTATTATAGTTATCTGTGTTTCAGTCAAAGCCTGTTTCAATACCTTACTTGTTTTAAAAATTAGAAATAATTTTCTATCCCTTTGATGTTAGTATTTCCATTTTTTTTCTTAAAAGGCCAGTTAGTTTTTGTGCTTTTCATCGATTTTGTCTTTTCCCACCCAAGTACAGTGGATTAAATCACAATGTCATTTAAATCTGTCGTACTTGTCTTCAAAGTGTTTTTTTTTATCCTTGAGATGCTTAGCAACGGAAGTTGCTTTTGAATGGAGAATGATAGCAGATGAAATATGCTAATTTGAGAAAACATATATAGAATTTTATATGCACAGAATAGAAAAAGTTACACAGATTTTTGATAGCGTTTAAAATGAGATCTTGAAGATTTAAAACTTTGTACATAGCCAAGTATAGGTCTTTTATTCTTTAATTGTGATAGAGCTAAGAAACCAGCGAGAGCCAGCCTGCTTTGTGCAGGAGCACTAAGAAGGGAAATTACCGGAGCGGTGGAAAAGCGGCTTTCAGGAAGAACAGATTGAGTCTTATAATTACTATGTACTGAGGAACTTGGGGGTGACAATGATAGGGCAATTTAAAATAAAATAAAACGGTAACTTTTGGAGCACAGAGCCGAGGGGAGGAAAGTTATTTTAAAAGACCACATTTGCTGTGTAATTGTTGTTTTTTCTCATTTCAGTTTTTAAAGCCCAAATCTACAGCTATGTATCAATTTTAGTGACACATTTTTGCATTCCACCATGGCGTCTTATCCAGGACAGATAACTTACTTGCTTTCGGCACGCTGATAATAAGGGCACAGTTCCTCCCCATAGGGGAGCATTCACTTTGCTCTCCACCTGGTGGAACACATATTCGTTCCTGTCTTGGGCCGATTTCATGGCCATGGATGATTCAGAATCCTAGAAGAGTCTCTTGAGGCAGTTGCACC